AAGATACTAATTCCAGATAGCTAGCTAACAGTGATACATGTTTTTTCAGGCATTGTGTGGCGCTACTGTTTGATGTTGGTTAGTATTAAATTGTCATCTTTAACACAGAAGCCTTTAAAATGTGTAGTCGGAGGCTGGACAAGTTGTAAATATTTATATAAAGCAGCAGCTGGCGTGTCAATCACAGCCAAATGCAATTATCCCATTTCCAATAAGTGCACAACATACTGTGTTTGATTGGAAACACTGCTCTGTTGGAAGATAACTAGTAAATACATAGTGTACGCTATGTAGTTCTCTTCTATGAAGCACCATAATAGATTCAAGTTGAGAAATGGCGAAAACAAATTTAACCTGAAAGACCTCCATTTTCTGTTAACAAAAAGACTACATACTGTATCATAATCATGGATAAACATTGATTTAAAGGAAACAGACAGAGGTAACAGGCACTTACAAGAAGTAAACATGCAGCGTGGTTTTCCTGATTCTCTTACTAGCAAGAAACATATTACTGATACCATCTCTCCATTCATACATCTTCACATTGTGCCCTTTAGCAAAACACTTTACAGTACGATGTGCATCAAGTCTTTCTTCCCCTCTCTCTCATACACATACTCGGCCGGCTAATCCAGGAGCTCTCTACTATGTACACATAACATAAAGTGAAGATTAAGTCTCTTAAGCTATAAAGGCAGTGAGATGAAAAGTTGGTGGTAACAGAGATGGCAATATGGGTGCTCAGGAAGAGTCTTTTTGGTAATCTTATTATACTGCAATCTCACTTGGAAAACAAACTGTGAATCATATCAGTCTGGTCTGGTCTTGGTTGGTGTGTGACAATACTCACACATGCACATGCGCACACAACTGGGTGCTGTCTGAAAGCCAGACTATTTTTGACATGGTTGAAACAATGCAATGCATTTTCACTGTCTTGTTTTTTTGTTTTTTTGAGGGGTAATTAGTAGAAACGATACCATTTTTAAATGGGCTTACCTGTTTAAAGAAACTGCTGTGCATCACTGTATTGCATTTTCTCCACTACTACTGATGCTGATACTTTTTTTTAATGTAACATAATTTACAAGAAATACATAAATCAAATGTAAAAGCTAATTACTTTAACTGTGTAGTAAAATCAACCAGTTATCAATGAAAAAAAAGTAAACTGAATGTATTAAAAATAAAGAAAAATAATTTTAATCTTAAAAGTGGAACAATCACTGAAACCAGAAATGGGCAGCTGATGAATGAAATGCTGAATCTGCTTTTGACTAATTGCACATTTTCGTTAATGGGACACAGTAGATTTGGATATATGTGAGTAAATGTAGGTTAAATAAGTAAACCTTTGTTCGGTATTTGGTTTTTTAAGAGACCACTGAGACTGAGTCCAAGAATCTCAGGCTCAATGGGGGGGGACTGGGGGCAGCATATGAGATGACAGATTTAATACATTGATGGTCTATTGATGAACTAATTTACTGCAAAAGTTCAGCAGTACTTTTAAGTTGAGGCATTGATACTATAAAAGGTGCTGCTACAATTTCATGAACAATAACATTATGGTCCTTTAAATGCGCCCAAAAGTGGCTGAGTCAGAGTTCCCCACCCTGTTCAAGCCTCCATCTGCAGGCCTTGGCTCAGCAAAGGCTGTCAAACAGTAAACGTCAGGCCGAGATTAGAAAAAAGGGAAAAAAAGAAAAGAAAACAACAACGTGGAACGGACTGAGACAGAACAAGACGAGAAGAAAAAAATAAATAGCTGGCACAAGGTAGACTGTACATACTGTACCCTCAGTGGTGGCAGGCAGCCCAGACTGGCGAGCTGCCAAGTCCTCCGTACAACAAGCACAGAGAGACAGACAGACGGGCAGATAGACAGGCAGAGAGTGAGAGACAGAGTGGAAAGCAGAGGGGAGGGAGGAGGCGGCAGCAGCAATGTCTGAAATGCTCCACATCCACGACACGCTGTGCATCCCAAAAAGCCTCTCCACTCTCTTGCTTCATCTCCCTGATATTCTGCCTTTTATGAAGCGAGCTGAAGGATGATGGCGGCAGCGGTGGAGGAGGAAGGGTGGAGGGGCTGAGGTTAAGGGTTTTGGGACTTTGTAAAGTGTCATCATTACAGAGAAACACGACCAAAAAAAAAGAATCCAGACGTGGTGTCAGACCGAGAAAAAGCCTTGAAAGTCAAACGGTGGAGGCGGAGGTGTAGGAGAAAAAAAAGAAACTGAAAAAGTGCAAAAAATAAAAAAAGACAACAAAAACTATCAAAGAAGCTTTGCCTCAGCGCTGTCTCTTCCCTAACCGTCGCCCGTCTCGACAGAAGCGCTCGTCTTGCCTTTTACGCCAGACCAAAGCGGCTATGAATCAACACTGATGTGTGTAACAGTACAGGTTGATGTCGTGCGTCAAGGCTGCCTCGCATGGAAAGAGGAAAAAAGAGAAAGAAAGAAGAAGAAAAAAAAGTTTGTGCACTTGCTGCCACAGTTGCTAAAAATACACTGCCCATATCTTCCGCTCAGTTGCCATTTTCAAGGTGGAGTGTGTGGTTCTTCCTAGAGTTTTCAGTCATCTCTCTCGCTCTTTTTTTCCATTTGATCTCCTATCAGCAGAGTTTTCACCTCATGATAATGGGTACAAATTGTGAGTTTTTATTAACCTGTTGATAAAACCGCTTTCTGTTGGAAATCTATTCAAATATTACTTCAGCGTCTACAAAACAACCCGTTAGAAGACTTTATTTATACTCTGCTACTTTCTTCTAATTAAGAAAAAGATTCCTTTTTAAACAAGAGGCCCTGCTTTATTCAGGAAGTAATTATGATCATAAAATCTCAAACACACATCTATCTCTCACTCTTTTTCTCCGTTTCTGTCAGCGTGGTTGTTAGTGATAAAGGTGGCGCTAAGTAGAAAATTCAGCGTGTCCCATTATAAACAGAGTTCTGGACAAATGGCTCCATCCTTGGGCCAACATTAACACAAATTTGGGGTTTTGTGTATGTGTGCAGGAGGTGTTGCCTCATGAGGTTCCATGGCTTTTACGGTGTCTCAATAAACCATCTGCACTTAGGGCCTTAGCAGTGGGGAACTCTTTGCCGCCTATAAAAGACGGTTCATTCCATTAAAGCAGTAGGCTCAGAGCACCCAGACTGCTAGGGTGTGGGTGTGTGTGTGTATGTGTGCAAGTGGGTGGGTGTAATAGTGTCAGACTCCACCAATCAATGTGTCCACTGTTCTGACTTGTACTACCTTTCAGACCTCTAATGTCACAGAGGTGTAGGATGACAGGATGATGATGTGCAGGCACCTCTTGGGTTAAGTTTCCCAGAGCTGCTCAGCTTGAAGAGTCATTTAATCCACAAATCACTGCAACTAGGTTATGCTCCACATTCACATGTTCAATATAGAATATTTATAGTAGGACAAAGCAAATGTAAGTCAACTTTTCCCTCTATTCCAATTTCAGGCAGCAGCAACTTCAGTACTGGAGTCTATTGTAAATGCTTAAATGTAAAAATCAGCTTGCAACAAATATATTCTGCACAGTGCATTTATGGTCTATAGTGACAAATCAGTCTTTGTATCTGTTAACAGATGCTAGCATGATTATGACAACTTAAGAGTATGAAGTTTAAAGCTAAAATGCATGTTTAGCCCATTAGGTCATATGTATTTTTGTATCACTGATCATACCGAAAGCCTGTTACAGTGTATTTGGATTCTATTAGTCCTAATTAACTATCACTAACTATAATAACTACAACACCACCTACTTTCAGGAACATAAAACAGTTTTATGAGTTAACTCCAAGGCTCTAACTACTATGTATGACAGTGAGGTGGTGTCACTGGGAGAAATACATAATAAAGGAAGTAAATGCAGAGGAGGGGGGGGGGGAGCCAAACTAACTAACTACGTTTAGTCACATGTCAAGCTTGTGGTTCCTAAATATTTGTCCTCTAACCTTTCTTACAGTATTGTTCTGGTATTTTTTACTACTGATTTGGTGACGTCTGTAGCGGATGAAAGTACCTCAGGTCAAAAAATTATGGAGCAGCAAAACAAACTACTGTCATTTTATTAAAGAAGTCAGACACTAATTGGCCTTTTTCCATCACCCTGTGAGCAACTGCGATCTGATTTAATGCTGCACATGGCACGAGTCTGCAAACAGCAGGGCACAGTCAGTGGAGTTGGTTACCTCGTTGAGAAGTTGGTGGAGTACAGCCTGTCGCCTGCAGCTCCTTATCTAACGGCTCGCTGTGGCTGCTCATTCTTGTTCTATTACTTTGCAGCTTTTGATGCACCGAAAATGGTGAAAATGATCATTGTCTCGTTTTGTTTGTAGCGGTAAGTGCCAAGGTGACTGACAAGTTGCACTTTCTGTGCGTACTTAAAAACCCCAACTCATTTCAGAGCTTTTAACCTGGAAATACTTCACATGAATTAACATGGCATGCTTCATCAGCAGGTGATACACTTTACCAACATTTTGCTACCTTACTCAGTCACAATGACTAAATAATTTTCCCTTTTGAGCAGCTTATCCAAAATTTATTTGACAGAGATTTTGACTCCTCATCTTAACACCATTGTATTGCCAAGTCAACTACTTTTTTTACACACATATTACATAATTACATTCATTATGCAAAATATATTTCAATGAATTAAAGAATACTCTGGTTTCTATGAAAGGCATCACCAGATATATTAAAAATGTATAATTTTCAATGCATGGATCCAAACATATGAGACATTTCAGGCCCAGGCTCCGTGGGTTATCAGTGGGGTTCCAAATGACTACTTTTCACTTAATTTGGAGTCATAGTTTGAATTTTTGGACAGCAGTAAAATCTGCCAGTAGCGCTTTTCTGTACAAAGTGGCAGCAATGAATGCTCTTTTCTTTAAAGACTGTTACTGCTAGCTCAACAGTGATCACAGCGAGGGGTTGTGGTTTTGGGGTTAGTTTGATTTCCTTACCTGAATGAGACAGCAAATGCATTCGTAGACGGAGGCTGTCCAGGAAGCTCTTCCCACACAGCTCACAGCTGTAGGTCTTCATTCCACTGTGCATCTTTCTGTTGACAAAGAGCAAAAAGAAATATTTTACCATCTTTCAGTGAGACCAGCCAGCGCTTAATGTACCACCGATAGACGTTTGTGTCTCTAACAAAGCGGCTTTTTACAGCTCATAACTAAAAACTTCAAGAACAGAGAAAGTTTGGCCTTGTGCATTTTGAGAGAATATGTCACACTCCATCAGTCTTAACATCAGCACAAAACAGTAACCATGAGTGTAACAAGTCATCCATCTACCACACATATTATCTGCAGGGACCAGTAGACCATGACTTGCCGCTGTAAATCACAAGGTGCTATTCAAGCAGAGGCGGCATTATCAGCTACCTACATCTAGAGCGCTGCAGAGGGATACGATGCTGTAAAGTGAAATAGACTAAAATAAATAGTGAAACAGAAACACGCAAAACCTCTACTTACTGTTACGAACCATTTATGGAACAGTTTTTGATGACTGCTCTCAGAGCTATGAGCTGTTGCGTAGCTTGAAGCCAAATCAGATTTGCAATAAATTGTCTATTTCCAAATGGACAGTCATTAAGCTGTAACGTAGTTTAAGCACACAAGGTCAGACAAGACTAAGGGTCAATATTTGATTATGAAGTAAAGGCCTTGAAGGTTAGCTAAGTAAATAACATCTGACAACAGAAAAGTCTAGTCTTACGGCTCTCTCTGCTCCTCAAATCCTCAAAGACCCCACGGCTCAGTACAAAGCATATTATTCTTGAGAGATATCTGAAAGTGCTCTAAAGCAATTAAAGTGACACGAATTGCCAAACAACTGCCACAGTGCCTTAAGCATCTTGAGAACTTCAAATACCTCGCCTTGAGAGAGGTACACAAAGCCACAGACACACCCATGATTGTAATCATCGTCAAGTTTGTGCTGTTTCTGATTTGGCACGTTTAGTCTTCTACAACTGTTGCTCTTTCATACAACACAGCTCCAAAAATGAAGCATTACTTTTTTGATGGTAATACTAGATTGTGGGGGAGAAAAAAGAAGTGACAGGTTGTGAAAAAGCCTTTAGCTGAAAAAAAAAAAATCATACCAAAAAAAAGTACACAGGAAAAAGACATGATTCTATACTCAGGTGAGTGTATGCTTCAAGCAGGCAAAAAAAGACAACATCAAATACAGCTCACGCTCTCCACTGACTAGTCAGGTGGCAAAAAGTGATCAGCCAAGTGCATTCTTGGGGAAACAATGCCCTTGATGAGAGTTCTGCTCAACTTGGGTGAGATGACAGCCATCCATCTTAGCGGCTCAACAAAGCTACAGAGGAGGAGGTGGTGCCACTTTCCCAAAACATGACTGATTGATGTCAGATGTCGAATGCAAATTGATTTACAGCTCTCTTTTGTGCCTCGAGAGGGAAAGGAAGAGACAAAGCGAGGATTGAGACCAGGACAGACAGAAAGAGATTATAGCGTATGCTATGGCAATGGCTTTGGGAGTTATTAAGCTATCAAGTCTAGTATGACTTCACTTACAATTAATTGCTGCAAAATATCCCCCAAACCTGACACGAGCAGGGTAAAAACCAGAGAAGTATGAAATTAAAGAGAGGTTAGAAGTTGTGAAGAGACCCTGGAAATCAAGGGCAGAATGACAGCCCTTTGGCATGCAGTCAGCAATTAAAAGGTCCTCTAAATGCTAACTGCCCCCAAAAGGGAAGAGGACACTTAAAAACAACAAAATAGGAGAAACAAAGTGTCATAGAGTGTTACATATCGTTAAAGGGCAATAACGCTCCAGATACCGATGTTATATTTAGCAGCTGCACATCATAAGAGTAGCATAAAACAAACATCTTAATCTAATTTGAAAAACTTGGCAAACAGGCATGACAACATGGCATCAAAATGACATCAGGATGTTGTTTTGTTGCACAAATATTTGAAAAACTCTAAAGCAATTGCTCAAACTCCAAATTGCTCAAGTGCAGTAGAGCTGCATTGTATTCAGTTCTATTGAGGCAACCGCCAATGGACAAACTGTCAACTCTTTTTCTCCGCTTCTATAATAGAGTTCCTCTGTGACTGGTTTCAAAACAGTAACCCTTAAAAATGACCTTTTCTTTTACTCGAGGGCATCAAAGACTAGCGTTTATTCCTATTGTTTTAGAAATATTAAAAACAAAATTTACAATTTTAAAAACTGAAAAAATATTTGACAAAAGACCAACTGGAAAAAGCTATGGAAAAGGGTTTTTCTTTCCTGTAAGAGTCATATGCGATGTACTCACACGCTCTCAATGAGATAAGGAGAAAACACACGTACGTGGTAAGCCACAACATACACAGAGGACAAAGCCTTTCAAAGGCCTTTTGTGTCCCTCCTCAATCTGGCCATTGTGCCCCCCAGACAGAGCACTGAAACGGTATGGATGGACTTATTAAGGGCACTCAAAGCGGAACCAATGCCATGTATTTTCACCGTAAATGTAGCATTGATGAGCAAAGGGTGGTGTGCACGTCTGTAGCTGGGGCTGTGTTAACTTTAACTGCAATGGCTAGCACTACCTACTGAAAAAGCACATTACTTGATGTTCAACAGAATGGCAACAGCACCTGTTAAAGTGATTCTGTGTGTTAAAGGGAAGGGTTGGGAATTTTAGAAGACCGCCTTTTTAAAAACGCATTTCTTTTGGCAAAAACTGCAGATTCTCTACAGGCCACTTGAGGCTAACTGAAATGTTTAAAGGCCCAACTAGACAGCAGATAAAAGAATATTTACAGGCTCGAAAAATTATTTTGTCCTATTTCTCTCTTTATTACAGTTTGCATGGTGGATGATTTTTTTAGAACTCCCTTTATTAAGGCTTAAGTGTAGAGACATGAACACTGACAGGTGAATGGCAACACAGGAAGCTGTAGCTGACAGCTGTCTGCTAGCCGTCTGCTTCTTGTTCTCTAAACCGTCTAACGGAACTGGACCTCTCGGCCATGTTTTGGTGTATTAGCAGTTATGTAAGACACAGTGTAGCTTAATCTGGTTGATTGTGCTAGCTGCTGGTCTGAATCTGTGCTCCAGTTTTGGTCAGTGAAATACTCGTATTTCAAGCCGACGGCTAGGTTTTCTTGTGGACATTCCAGGCTACAGTTGCCTAGGTGAAACCTCTAATATGTTTACTCCCAGGTCATATGTCAATAATTGGTATTCTTCACTCTCATTGGTAGGCACTTCAGTTGCTTGCCTGGAAGTTGAGAAAAGTTTACCTGAGGTCCTACCCACTTCCTGTTGCCAGCAGTTAGTGCTCAAAGTTACTTGAAGTCACGGAAGGTCATTCACTTTCTATGTTCTCTATTTGCCACGTCACTACGAATTGCTTCCACCGTGGACGTAACTTTATTGTTCTACTCTCTGATCCAAATACGGTCACCTCGGGCTTCGGCAGCGGTAAAAATTCAAACTGCTGATGACTTCCACAAGCTAACCTGATGCAGTATAAGCAGCTTTATCTGTACAGCTGCCATAATTAAGCCAACACATGACTCATTAATTGGTGTGTTAGTTTAGTTCATCTATGAGTCCACTTGGATGCTAGTGGCAAAAATTCCGTCATCAGTGAGCGCAAGGCTCTCTGCTTTTTCTTGTCACTTGGTGGACTGGTCCATGGGGACACGGGGACTACAACGCACCTCAATGCATGCGCCCTTTGGGAGGATTTCAAAGACGTATAACAGGAATGACTACTCATCCATGTCGTCGGTAGATGTCTTTATCTGTATCAGAGTATAATCCATGTGTAACATTGTTTCAGTCAGTCTATCCACCTTGACTGGATACCATGATTATAATAATAATAATAATAATAATAATAATAATAATAATAATAATAATAATGGATGGGATTTATATAGCGCTTTTCAAGACACCCAAAGCACTTTACAATGCCACTATTCATTCACTCTCACATTCACACACTGGTGGAGGCAAGCTACGGTTGTAGCCACAGCTGCCCTGGGGCAGACTGACAGAAGCGAGGCTGCCATATTGCGCCATCGGCCAATACCAGTAGGCGGTAGGGTAAAGTGTCTTGCCCAAGGACACAACGACCAGGACAGAGAGCCCGGAGATCGAACCGGCGACCTTCCGGTTACAGATACGCTTCCCAACCCCCTGAGCCATGGTCGCCTGTGATGATGATCATAAAGAAAGGTTTACCCGTTATATACACGAGACAGGGTGAAAAAAATACCTTTATGAAGATGAATGTTGTGATTAGTTTGTCTAATAACAGCAAGTATTTATGAACCCTACTTCTTTGGGGACAGTGCAGTACAGCAGAATAGTATGCATCATTAGAAAACAGTTAGTACTTAAGGCATACTTTATATGCCTTGAAATGCTCCGTGTGCTTAAGTAGAGCTGATAATGGCTATTCAGTAATTCTGTTTCACACACTTCAGTGCTTTAACAAGGTTTAATGGTATGCATAAGGATACTAAAATATTGTCTCAGCTTAGTGATTTACTTGAGATAGACCCCCCTCTGTGCACACCCTTTCTCAAATCCCATCGTAACTGTCTGCTTTCATGTTGTGCTACTGAAATAGATGATGAGGTGTGTGCGTGTCTAAACGAGGGTGTGTGGTGGGTGGCAGTCCAGGGAGGGAGGGTGATTTGAAACAGACTGACTGTACCCATTAAGGAAGTTCACATAAAACTCTCTCAGGCCATTTACTCAGTTAATAATCGACTTTGTCCAACAGTCACTTTTGACAACGACAATAAATTTTAAATTTATGTCAACAAAACATATGCTGATCACCTCGTGCAGAGTGCTTCCTCATAAAAAGCAGCCCAACCAAGGGCTGTTTCACTTCATGTGTGTATGTTTGAAACGTGAGTCGATTACAGGCCTGTGTTATTGAGCCGTAACAGCTTGCCTTATGTAGTTTCTGAGCTCTCCTTTCCTATTTTGCCGCCAGTCTTGGCTCGCCATATATCATAACTTGCGCTGTAAAGACCCAAGCTTTCCACCTGCTATCAA